ATGTACAGACATCGACCTGTTACAATTTTATTATATGTATAGATTTAATTTTATAATTTAATAATTTTATTTATAAATTAAAATTCAAAAAAAAAAAATATTTGAAATCTGATAATTTTGACAATTACTCAAACTTTTTTATATAAATATAGAAACTCGTTAAGTTAAACTGATTCAAAATCAAAATCTTGTAGAAGATTTTTCAAACCCTGGTAGGTACAACTAAAAGTTGTCCAGGAAATTGCACGATAGGAGCAATTTAAAAAAAATTGCGTACGTAGCTTTTGCATAAAACCATTCAGGTTAAGAAGGCTGTTGCAGATGCTACTTACACTACTCCTACTCAAATCTTGGGAGCCTACATGATGGCGGATTGATTCACTTTTAGCCAACCCAGTGGTAAACTGATGCGTAACGATTAGATTGGAAGTCGATCTTGATACGATAATTTTATGTGTAATTCTAAACAAATTTGCCGAAAAAACCATGGGGTTTGGATGTAGTGTCGTAAAGAAGTGATAAATTTTGTATAAAATCATAGCATGTTTTTTTTTTCTATGAAAGGTCCAAATTGCAATTATCTTTTGATCTTCGATTTTTTACTGAATGTCGTTTTCGTACGCAAAAATTTGCAAGAAACTGGCAAAAGAGGGGAAATTGAGAGAGCAAAAATGACAGCTGAACTTGCAAGTTTTACTGGATTTTTACTGGATAAATTTTTACTAGCAACTATTTGCTAGGAAGGAAAGCAGCTGAAGGCTTGATGCTTATTATAAATCACATTAACAAAATAATTATTTGTGGTGCTTTTAGAGTTGCAATTGGCAAAATAAACCTATTTAAATATATAATAAGATAAAAAATACTAGTTTTCTAAGAAAATTGCATCGGAAAATGCGTTTTGCGTTTTCTTACTTTGTTGCATATTTCACTCATTGGGAGTACTCTCCTCCGTGCTTACTCTCCGAAATTTGGTTACTGGCAAGTTACTGGATATTTTTTTGCTGGAGAATACGAAAACACAACTTTTTTCTCCTCCGATGCTATACGCGAAAAAATTGACCTGCCCTAATGTACATATATAAAATGAAATCAAGAATACATTAACTTCCCTGCAGCAAAATTGAAGGAACAGTCTGGCAAAGCGCTAGCTCCGTCCTACAAATTTCAGAACTACATATCACTTAACTACTGCAAAATGGCTGCAATGCAGGACAGTTGAAACTTGCGATATGTTAGTTGTGCTGTCCTCAAAGTTTTTCACATTTAGCATGTGAAAGCTGAGGAGGAAATGCACAAATTCTCATTTCCATTTCCCGTACAATGCGAACATAGCTACGCGGGAGGACCTCCGACTCTAACATCGCTGATCGCGAGTTCAAAACGTTGTGATTTGCAGATTTGATAAATTGAAATTGTTGCGTGCCGCTCAAAAATTTGAAGATAAAATTGACAAATGTAAAATAAATTAAAATTAAATTAAATGCAATGCGTAAAAGAAGATTCATCAAAATTTTTTTTTAACTTTTTGCACCAGATCTCTGCAAAATCAAAACAGTTCAGAACGAGTTCAAAAGTTCTGCAGAGGGGGGGCAATTGCCACTTCGTAGGACATGGCCGTGTTAAAAATGACAGTCGAACGCATTTTTAATTTGGGATAGATTAAGAACCAGTACCGTCACTTTTCCTGCTAGTTCGCTGCGACTTCCGAACCAGTTTAATTTGCTGCGGGGTACTTATTCAGGTGCAAGTATAAAAAAAAAAACAGCAAATAAATAAGTGTGTGTAGGTTAACGCTCCCAGCATTGTCATAGAAACCGCCACAACAGCTTTGACTTGCCACAAACATGCGAACTAATGCATATGTAGATATGTAGGTATTATAGCTGTGCGATTAATTGATTACTCAAAATTTTAATTAATCATAAAGTAAATAACTCAATTATTCGATTAATTGGAAATTATGATTACTCAAAAGTTCAGTTACTCGAGTAATCAAGATTTTTGATTAACCAAAAACAAAAATATTTGAGTAATTTGCTTTATGATTAATCAACATTTCGAGTAAAATGAGTAATCAACATTTCAACTCTTTACATATGTTAAAGTTCCTTGATACTTTGAAAACAACGTTTCTGTTTTCAAAAATTAAAACGAAAAATTTTTTCATATACAGAATGTAAAAAAGAAAATAAGCATTTTCCAAAGTAAACTCTTTTAACGAGCAAAATAATTTTTTTGAGTAATCATATTTCAAGTAACTCGATTAGTCATCGTTTTGAATAATCAAAATCTTGATTACTCGAGTAATTGATTAACCGAATAATTGATTAACCAACTTGCTCGAGTAATCGAATAATCGCACAGCCCTAGTAGGTATGTATATATATATATATATGCATATTCTTCTTTTTTCTACCACCAACATATAAACAGATGTACTATTTACAAACGATGTTATGAAGTTACATATGTATGTATGTATTTCCGCGGCGTATTTTAAAGGGAGCAGATGATACGCATCGATAATTTACATATTGACAATAATTTTAATCTACTTAAAAGCTTTGTGTCAAAGTTGAAGTGTTGTTAAACATTGTAATGAATCGTGAATAACAACTTGACGCTGGTACTTATATACATACATACATATGTAAATTCATACAAATATATGTACGCACTAACGTGCATATATACATGACTGTTGATATAACTAAGTAACAAGAAATCTAAACCATTTTTTTTTACATACACCAAAGGTGTGTTTAAGAAATTAAATTTGTATTTATTTTTCGAAATCTTCAAAATAGGGATGGATGCTATTTGATTTTTGCTTAGGTTCATCCTTCGGTTTTCGTAATAAAGAAATTTTTTTATGAAACGAGACTTCCGAAAATCGACTTATTTTTTTTTCTATGGATAAATTTTCGAAAAACTTTCAATTTACCATTATTCAGCTTAAAAAGGCGCTTCCACTTAATCACGTTTATCTTACGAACCAATTTAACAATTTTAATAGGAAAAAATGAAAGCTAATAAAAAATTGTCCATAAACCATAGACTAATCGTCGTTTAAAGTACAAAACCGCGTATCAAAAAAAATGCAAAATCCCGCAACAAAAATTTTTTGCTAAAATTTGGATTTGCTCAGACAAGCTCTTTGCTTCAATCTAGAAAATAATTTATGCAACCTCACATACGCGGTTTTGCATTTTGTTGATACGTGGGTTTGTACGTTACACGACGTTATACATACATATATGTACATGGCGTATGAGAAACATTTTTTCCTGCCCATATTTCGTACAACAAATCTTTGCACATTTTCATTTGACCACTCATTCTCTTTTTATTTAACAGAGCGGGCTTTAAGGCAAATGAAAAAAATTTACGCAGAATTGGTTATTTTTATGGTTAAGTTTGAAATTTTTTCATAAAAAAAACCCATAAATCTGGAATGATGAATTAATTTCTCAGAAGCTATCAAAGCTATTGAAAAGTTGTGTATACACGGAGGAGAATATGGAGACATTTGTAAGCTTTCGTTTGCCATATTTTGTATTAAAATTGTTTAATTGTTTCGTAAGGTATGCCAGATTAAGTGGAACCACTCTTTTTAAATCTGAATAACGGTGAATTCCAAATACTTATCTCGAAAATTTATCCATAGAGAAAAATTAACTAGATTTTCGGAATCAACGAGCGAAAATACGCGAAGAATTTTTTGTGAACCTCGAGTGTGACTATTCACATTTAACCCGTTATCATATCTGGACCGCAATTACGCCAGAGTAAAATGGGTATATTGAGGAAAGTCTTTCCCTGAAATGCGGGTGAGAGTTGGTAATGTGTGTTAAATGCCACTTGATGATACTGGTATTGTTCCTCAGTTCAAAGATATATCTTCTACCGTGGGCAGAAAGATGTTGAAATTCAACTAATTTATATCGTTTTGCGTATTTTTTTTACAAGAAGTTCACGATGATATGATTAAAATTGCACAAAGCCGTCAGTAAATATTAAATATTACGGGTTTTTTTAGCTACTTAAAAATTGCACGTTTTACCAGAATTTCAGCGGCTATGCAACTGCATTCTAAAAATTCAGATTAAAAAATTCCAAATTTTGATGAAAATTGAAATTTAATTTTTGTAAATTCAGTATAAGGTTTGAATGATTCACTTATGTGGTTTTGGTAAAAGTATAAACCACATTTTTACAAAAAAAAATAAAAATGGAAATTGGGAAAATATTGCAAATATTTAACAAAAATCACCATTTTTGATCACCGGTGTATATCGCACGCCATGCTATATTTCATGATGAAAACATATTAATTATTATTATTAGACTATTTTATTATTATTTATTAGACCTATTCTCTCAAAAATACTAAAAGTGGCCCTCAGCGGTTCTGTTTGCCTATATATTTATCATGCTCTATTCTACTAGATACCCGGCATGCATGTTTATATGTAAGTATGTAGTACATACATATGTATATATCTAGCTCTTT